ACACACACACACACACACACACACACACACACACACACACACACACACACACACACACACACACACACACACACATGGTTTCAGCCCTAACTTCACAGCAAACCTCCAGAAATCGGAGCAGACAAAAACAAATACTCTGTGTTAAAGGCTGACAGTACACACCCATGCAGGAGTGCTGTGCCCCTCACGCCCACACATTCATCCACAACACCAGGTCTTTGTGCTGTTTTTCCTAAAATCACCGCCCTGAGTGGAGGAGCCTGGCTTACAGCTAAATTATTCCACAAAGAGGCTACTTTCCACTTAAAAGCCAGTTATGCTGAGCTACATATTAGAGAAAAGTCTTCAAATGTAAATTACTGTAACAAATCTGAAACATTATGAAAGATGTTTCTGTATTACTGTGTTTTTAAATCCAAGCCTCCAATTGAAGCAAGCTTTCCCATGTGTGCTTGCATCTAACTTTTATGTTTGTTATTTCAATCAGATTAGGGAATGCACAACAGCTGAAGAATGAATATGTAATTCATTTGTAAATATTTATAGACTGAATAATGTTGAAACTATAAAAGGAGTAAATGACAGATAGAAAAGACCAGCTTTGTAGGAGAACAGAGACAAGGGAACAGAAAAAAAAAAAACAAGTCAAAGGCAATTAAACAGAAAAACAAACCATAAAATCATTAATGCAACCTCATAAGTCATGAATAAATCAATAACACTAAATCAAAAACTCCTAAACCCTGACAGCAGCATCTGCCACTGATTATTTTGTGTCTGGAAAATCAAAAATAATTTAATTGTTTAATTTGGGACTAGTTGATGACAGGTATCACCTGAAAACAGCTAAAGTTTTCATCATCATTCCACTGAGACGTCACAGATAAAAAGAAAGTAATTCTCTGAAGGAAGGCCTACAGTATCAGTTTTAAAGGACTTCCTGTTGAGTAAAGTGTATAATGAGGATGACTTTCACCAGACCACATTTTAGCTCATTTACCTGACAAGAGTTCTTGTGTTTAGCTGAGGATCATTAGCTGTGATGGCCAGCTTTACTTCAGTTATAAATGTCCATCCCCTGATTACTTTAGAGAATTTTATCAAATTTCAGTCACTGGTGTATGAGATATTTTGCTAACATTACTAACAAATAAATCCACACATGCAAACACGGAGACCTGCACCTTTCATGGTTGAATTTAATTTCACCAGGTCACCATATTTAGAGGCGTTTACTGAGCGTGGGCAAGAGTTTAAAGGCACAGTGTGTAGGATTTGTTGTTTTCAGCGACATCTAGAGGTTGAGTGGTTGAATCATCCTCCCTGGTCCTCCCCCCACCCCC